TACATGTCGCCGTGACATTTAGGACCATTTTCGACAACATCCGCCAGACGTATTATGTGTTTATTTACGATTACTCGATTCTGCCAATGTTTATAAACCTGTCGTTCATGTAGTCTTTCATGTGGTCTCCTGGCTTTTTTCCTTAACATAACTTCAATTACATTGTATCTGGCCAAAACACAGCAAGTTTGTTGATCTTGTCACATTGCCAACTTCAAAATAACATTGAGATAATTATTACGACCGCACATTATTGTCTTTATTATGCAATTTTATTTTATTTTTATGAATTCTAATGGCAGTTTAGAGGTCTATTCACATGAAACAGTGTTCCGTTTAGTCAAACAGTCTCAGTTCAATGAAGGAAATTATTAAATTTATTTTTTATATATTTTTTTTCAAATGAAACTTCTTTACGCGCGTAAGTAAAAATTCAAGGCCGTGACACTCGACCCAGCGTCAGGAAAAGTGAGAACGGCAGTGATGCCACAGCTACCTCATTCGGGGTAGATTTACCCCTTTGTAAAACAATTTAGCTTGCTCTGGGTAACGATCTGTGCCATACGCGGCTAAGAAAATCACTATAATAAAATTGATAGTGTACCCGTGTACCAATATCCTCTTGTTGTGTGCGAGGAAGTAAATATTCATGCATATTTTCATAGATAGGTATGTATACCGGGTGTTGCATCGTCGAGCGGGACATAGAAAATCCCGTGTAAATTTTAATCTTCCCTAATTATTTTAGAGAATAATTCTATTTAGGTTTATTGAAGAGCACTAAAACCGACATTCAAAAGAATAACTTTAGATATTTGTGATTAGCCCGTTTACGAGTTATCGCCGATTTCTTTTTAAATATTTCTCCTTTCTTATGGCCCTGTATTTACTTATGAGCACCAGTCAAGGTAAAAGATAACTGTCAAATGAAGTTGTCATTTCAGAAATTTATCTATTTAGTGCTTTATAATTATTATTAGAAACTCATACCTACATCGAAAATATTTACCATGAATTACACTACCGAAGAAAAAGTATTGATGATTAAATTGTATTATCAAGGAAATAGTTATCAAAAGGGGTCGGACATGTTTGCTGCTCTGTATCCGAATAGACCGATACCTGGAAAATCTAAAATCGCAAGGAATATCAAGAGATTTGAGACCAAAGGTACCCTAATAAATAACTGCAGATGTGAAGCAAGGCAGGAACAAAGAGAAGATGCAAGAAATGATACCGACTTGGAAGTTTTATTGTGCGTGGAAGAGAACGATAAAAAGATCAGCAAAAGGAAACTTGAGGATGAAATAGAAATAGATCACATTACAGCGTTTTGAATTTTGAAACGACATAAATACTATTCCTTCAAATATGAAAAGCACCAAGAGCTACGAGATAGGGACGAAATACGGCGGCAGGCGTTTTGTTTTGATATGATGGAAAAAGCAAACACGGATAGGGATTTTTTTTTAAAAAACATATGTTTCACTGACGAATGCACGTTTACCTTAAATAATGAACCCAATGTTCAAAATTATCGATATTGGAACAAAAAAAACAGCACAGGTTTGTCGAAACAAGGACGCAATATCCACAGAAAGTAAATGTTTAGGCAGGGATATTCGGACACAATATTATCGGGCCATTATTTCTTACGCGAAATTTAAATGCAGAATATTATTTGGAACTACTCGAAAATCATATTTTACCTGTTTTAACGGAAACGTGATTGGCCTAAATCATACAGTAAATTGGCCAGCAAAGTCTCCTGGTATTTCGCCAAATGATTTCTTTCTCTGGGGCCATTAAAAAACAGCATATACAAGGATAAAAAATACCCAAATCTAGACGAGTTAAAAAATGCTATTTCTGCCGAATGCAATAGAATTTCAGTTTACCAACTAGCGAATGTAAGAAGAGAACTTTATGATCGCCTGGGTTATTGTCTAGCAGTCGATGGAGGAATATTTGAACATCTTCTTAAATCCTAAAGTTCTAACAATTTAATAGTACCTAAATTAATAAGTAATTGAATATTGTAATAATACTATACTTAACCTTTGTAATTGATTACTTTATTTTACTTTAATTCATATTAATTTGTAATTATAAATAAGATTTCCGATGCAGGAATGAGTTTTCAATAATAATAAAACACTAAATAGGTAAATTTCCGAAATGACAACTTCATTTGACTGGTGCTTATAAGTAAATACAGGGCCATAAGAAAGGAGAAATATTTAAAAAGAAATCGGCGATAACTCGTACGCGGGCTAATCAAAAATATCTAAAGTTTATTCTTTTGAATGTGGGTTTTAGTGCTCTTCAGTAAATCTAAATAGAATTATTCTCTAAAATAATTAGGGAAGCCAATAATTGACCCCATTAAAATTTACATGGGATTTCCTATGTCCCGTCCGACGATCAACACCCGGTATGCTTCTAAATAATATTAGAATTATTAGAGTTAGTAACTCGCATTTTCATTGGAGGATATTGTCATATTTTCAAACCAATACCTACTCTTATCCTACAAACTTTTGAAATACAACGAATCTGTATGAATGTACAGAATTGTCATAAAAAATTCTGTCCTGGAAAAATATTATTATCTATTGGCATTTGCAAAAGAATCAATGGATGGATCACTGTTAATATTAAAAAAAACAACACGAGAATATGAAGATAGTAATTCAATTTAAATAATGTAATACGTAATATAAACGAAGAGGCTAGGAATTTATTAAGGCGCTAAGAAAATAATATATTTAAGTCGTCTAACAAGCTTCAAAAAACGGTGTTAAAAAATTAACTGCGACTATTAAACCACCGTTTTTGTAATAGCCATTTTCCAGTCTGGTTACTGGAGCAAAAGATAAATCAAGAAGTTAATAAAGCCTGGCTTAATTTACGTGCAAGTTAAACGTTTTATCTGGGAAGAAAATTTATTGAAAATGGGGTCCTTAAAATATAATGTCAATATTTTAGCTTTATTTCCATCGTATCCTTTTGAGTCTTACTCTTTGTTTAAATATATTTCAATTACTAAAAGTATTTCCATTGTCTTTATTTATTTTTTGATTAACGCGACGTTTCGGTCATAAGGATCAATGACCGTTATCAAGTGTAAGCTGATCTAATTCCTAAAACTACTAAGCTTTTATAATACTACAGCCAGCATTGGTCCGATTTATCAGTTGTTGCCATATCGTAGATATTTCCGTAGGATTACTAAAATCTTGCTATCATTTGCAATAAAAACGGCTTCTTTAAATTTTACAATGAGGTAACCCGAGCTTTTGACAACTTCATATTATGCTGTTTTGACCAAACATGGTCCGCAATACCTGACTTCACAGTTTTACCCTTTTTTATACGTTTTGTGAGTAGAGGGAGATGGCCGATTCACCCTCAGCCGCCCGGATGAGGAGGAGGCGTTCGAGGCGTAAATCAGTTAAGAACATGTAAAATAGGTTAATAAACAAGAATAAACAGGTTTAAACAGGAAACAACCGCTTTTGAACTGCTTTGAACCGCTTTTTAGCTTAAAACAACAGACCTGTTCATTTTTTGTTCAAATCCGTTTATTTCTGTTTTAAAGCTGTTGTTTCCTGTTTATTCTTGTTTATTAGCCTATTTTACATGTTCTTAGCTGATTTGCTCCTTGCTCCTGCTCCTGCTCCGGCTCCTGATGGTGAATCGGCCATCTCCCTCTACTGATGTACCTTGTTACTCCCAAGGCGTTAAACGCTATATACGGGAGCTATTACACACACCGGAAAAGTCTAGGGATATTACAATTTTATCCAGCCATCGTCAGTAATTTTATTATTTGCATTTCGGATATAATAAAATTAAAATAAACAAATAGTTTACAGGACGTATTGGAAATAAAAATGCGAAATTTACCGAATTTTTCAAATTTACCTTGATTTTTAATGAACTCAAAAAATACACACATTTTTTTTAATTCTAAACTGTGAATTAAAAAAAAAAGATTGCCATTTTTACTTAATAAAGGGTATAGCCTCCTCTACTGTTCATTACAGCCCTACATCGTCTCTCCATGCTCCTGATCAGGTTGTCGATCTCTTCTTGAGGTAAAGCCTGCCACGCTGCATTCACGGCCCGAACCAGATCCCTACGAGTTTCACGGGGCATACCCATTCTCAAATTTCTTCTTTGGACCGCGTCCCATACGTGCTCGATGGGGTTGAGGTCAGGAGATTGTGCCGGCCAGGGTAAGATTAATTGATGAGCATTGATAAACTCACTTACCACTCTGGCTGTATGAGGCCGTGCATTGTCATGCATGAGAATGAAGTTTCTCCCAAAATCAATGGCATATGGTAACACGACAGGCTCAAGAATTAAATCACGATATGTGATTCCTGTTAGAAACCTTTCAAGAAAAACAAGATCGGTTTTTCGGCCTAACTGAACTCCTCCCCAGACCATAACTGTTCCACCTTGATAAGGGTGCACTTCCTGAACATGATCCAACCGAATAAGATTTCCCGGTTCTCTCCATACCCTAAGCCTTCTCGAATCTGGATGAATTCCAAAGCGTGACTCATCCGTGAAAAGAACATTTGCCCATTGTTCATTCGATCACTGAACATGATCTTGAGCCCACAAATATCGTACCTCTCGATTTCTCTCGTTAAGGGTTGAGCTCTCCAGGGGCGTCTGCTTCTTAAGTTAACCTCTCTTAATCTATTGCGAACAGTGTCAGGACTAACGGTTACATTATGTGTTTCCTGGAGAATTAAACTAAGCTCTGGTGCTGTAAGAGTCGGTCGGCGTCGAGCATTTAATTGTAAAAAATGATCTTGCTGAGGGGTAGTAATGCGATGTCGCCCTGTGTGCCTTTCAGCAACATCACCACTTTCATGGTAGAGCTGCACTTTGCTACCTTCCCGTTTGGGAGGTGGGTTCAAAATTGTACCTATATAAAACACCAAATTTTAGTTCAATGTAATTACACAATAAAACACAGATTAACAAGACAGACGTTTATTCAGATGTAGGGTAGCTCATCATTTGAAACAATACAATTTAAAATGGTTTAAATAATTATTACAATAATATAGAGAAATCAAAATGACTATATTATAAATTAAATATTTGCAATAATTGGTAATACTGGTTACCCGTTAGATGACCAGTTAGTGTAACCTAGACTACAAAATTACCTAGTCTACTAAAATTTAATATATATGAAAAACGGGGTACCCACGATATAAATGATACTTAAATTACTAAATATATGGTCTTTACTAAAACTAATCAGAAGCAACAAAAAAAAATAGGTACAATATTTATTAAGTACGCAGGAACGAGAGGGAGCTAATAAAGAGTTTGGTACTTAGCTTTTATTCGTAAGGGTCCCAAAAAATCCCCTACGCCAGGATCTGCTGCACAACCAGAAGGCCCAACCACGTGGCTTCCCCTTAGATTATCTGTTGGTTTGGAACGTCTAAGGTTTGAACAGGAACCTCGCTAGCCAGTCGTGAAAACCCTCGTGGAATCAAGTTGGTGCGTAAAAAAAGAAAAACCAAACCAAGGTGCCTAATTTAAAATTAACCCAATAAAAATTTGTCCCACGTGATAATTAATAAACCAAAATTAACTTACCCAAACTGTGGGCGATTTCCTTGGAAATAATACAAAAGATGCAACGCTATTAGTTTCGTCTCAATCCAGCCGTAGCTGTATGATATACATAATATCAATTAAACGTAGAGAATTATTAACCTTTCCCAAAATCAAATGAAAGGATTTTTCCAACTCAAAACGTGACTTCACTGCCAGCGTGCCGAAAAGAAAAGAAAGGAAATCACCAGACAGGTGGGCGCTTGGAATTTTAATATCGATACCCCTTCCTGATATAAATTTAGCTATAAAATCCCTAGGTACATCCGCAACCAGTTAAGTACCAATGTTGCCAGGAGTAATCCGATAATAAAAGAAACTTAATAATAAATCAAACAATAATAATAAGTTAAATGCAATTACAACTAGATACAATTGATAAGAGTTTAAGATCATTAATAAATAAAAGTATTAAAATAAGTTAAATGCTAAAATTAATTATTTAGAGACTAAATATGAATGAGGTGAAATATGATTTAAGAAAACTTCAAGAAGCTGGCAACACCGTTAGACCCGTTGATGATTTGACGTTTCTGCCCTAACCACAAATTAATTAATCTAAACAAAAATCACAATCAGATTATTTATTAATAATAATTATTGAAGGTATTATTGTTATTAAAAAGGTATGTACATCGTTTCGTATAATATAATTAATATAATATGGTTTCCCTTTGTAGCAACCAAACAACTAACAAAATGCAATGAATATTTCCACTTGAACAGAAGTAAACAAATACCAAAAGTAAGTATATAAAGTGGTTATTATTAATATTACTTTAATTAACGTTATTTTAGATAAATAAGAAGTCTTTACACGATGCATTTACCCTTCCATAACCTGAAGAATAATACCTCAAGATCGAGTCAAAGATATTATTTACAAAATATTACATTTGGCTAAAAATACAACAATATGAAGTTAAATTATGATTAAAGTTAATGCACATTTACTTTACTTGTAAATAGAAAATAAATAAATAATTAATATGTATTAAGAAATGTATTGTTATATTTTATTAACGTGCCATCTTCAAGGTTATAAACAAAATAATAAATCACCACATTCACCATTTTGTCAAGATATATTAATTAAAATAAATATAAGAAAATTAATTCCCCTTTGAAATATATAACCGTAACAACTTAATCGCGATATTACACTTTGCGTTGTATTTAATGCTCTAGCTACGTCGATTTGGCGCATTCCAGCTTCGAGCATACCCATGGCCCTTAGCATTTCGTCTCTGTTAAGATGTCTACGCTCCATAATGTCGTTTAATACTAAACAGAATTATTTGAATGAAATCTGGCCAGTTATCATAAAAACATAGCCAGTACAGGTTAAATTCGAACAATTGATGCTAGGTGCTTTTTATACATTTGACAAAAAATGCACAAAGACTTCTGCAAATATCCCAAATTTAGAAATAACTAGTGTGACTACTTCGTTTCAATCGAAGTAGAAAGAATCGGCCTACAATATGTGGTTGTTTATTCAAAACATTTATTTTTAACTTTAATAAAATGATATCCCTAGATTTTTCCGGTGTGTGTATTTTATTATATTATGATATTACTTTTATTTTTGACACTACCTGTAACAGTTGCCACTGCTGAGTGATCATTTAGTAAACTGAAGATCTTAAAGAATTATTTAAGAAATTCCACAAGTCAACATCGACTACACGATCTCTCAGTTTTAACTATTGAACGAAACACAGCATCAAATATGGACATTCGCGATCTCGTAGACCAATTTGTTGTACTAAAGCAAGAAGTTCTTGAGTTAAGAGTTTTATATTTTTTTATTTTGTTGTCTTGGATTTTGTTATTTTGATTTAATATTTTGTTTTTATGAGAATATTTTGTTTTTTTATTATTTAATAAAACGAGTGTTTTTTTAATGCCGTTTCCTTTATTCTTAAGGGGTTCAAGTTTTTTTTCCTTAGGGACCTCCTGCACCCAAGCTCCGCCACTGCTCGATGACATAAAGTTTTAACTAGTCCTTTCTTAGTTGCTTCAGAATGGTTTGACTGAAAACTTAAATATTGTCCTGTATGTGTGGGTTTTCTGTATACAAAAAAACCAATACTGGAGTCTTTGTGATAAAAACTTCACTGGTAAAACAATTTTATATGCTTGAATAACATCATAATTATGTAAACCACAAAATAAACACAAGAATTTTCTTCAATCCCATGTATTTTTTTTCTGTGAAACGAATTTGAGGTTTGCCAGTTATTGCCAATAAATTAGGCTGTTAAAAATACAGTTATTGTCAGTAAATTAAAGTTGTGTACATTTTAATGGATATCTGAATGCAATAAAAGATTAAATCGATTTACGATATGTATTCTGAAAATGTAGCTTGCCAAAATGTTACTTTTACGAAATTTCACTTTTGTTATACACCAAAAACAAAAATAGACATGAACAAATATTATATTTTATATCGCATGCCAAGTACTGAGCAAATCAACTATACATAGAACAAAGTTCATTACCTCATATTTGTTTACAGAGTTAGGGAAAACTAAAAATGTATTTTATTACACTGATTTTCTTAAAATATAGGAGAACAAATGACAGTAAATTTGGTATAGTGTCAAAAGTAATGTGCCGACGAGACGACAAAGTCATCAGTCTTTTTTATTTAGTCTTCCTTCTATTATATATGAAAAATAGAAGGAAATTGCCTCATTTTTGTGAAAGATTGCCAGTTGGAACTTTTTCTCGATTAACTGGGTAACTGCCGATTGGGTATCGCTTATATAAGCTATTTATTTATCAAAATGATTAATGTTGATAGTTTGATTATACATTGTGTGCGAATCGAACCGCCATAATAGGGAAATTTAAATTTATTCTATATCGATTTTGTATGGAAAATGACGTTTAATTTCGTTAGGGAAAAGTCGTTTACTTAATATGATTGAAATGGAAAAATATTCTTCAAACTATAATACCTTTTGGCCTATATAATTTTTTTTCAAACGTCACAAAAGTATAAATTTTTGCGACGTGATTGACAATATACTATAATAATATATACTATACAGAATTGTTCACCACATACGACACGGAGTATTGTAGCTACATGATTAGATTTTTACAAATTGTAAGTTTTTGGTTCGTTGAAGGACTATTAGAGCTACAATTTAAAAAAGTAGTTTTACAAGATACAGAGTGTCCCAAATAAATAAAAAATATCAAAGTTGTATTTTTTGAATGGAACACCCTGTATATTATTACATTTTTTAGTTTCCACCATTAAAATAAAAGGCAAATTTGATTAAGGTTTATTATACTTAAACCTTGCCGTTTTTTGAAATATTTTCAATTTTGTGAAATTGCAGTAAAAATTTTAAGGCTTTATTTCTCCAAGAGTATCAAAGTTTTTAATACTAAATATTTACTGAAGTTTATTTATTGACCAGTTATTGTGTTGCAATAATAAAAATAATACTACCTCATACAGAGTGTCTAAAATTTTATTTTAAATAATTGCTAGCTTTAAACGGCAATAACTTGTTTAATTTAAATAGAACGCCCTGTATTTGTGTATATTTAGGAGAATCAGATGCATAATTTAATTGTTGAGTATAGACATATACATATATACTGCCATTACTCGCTGACGAGTATTCGATACGCATCAAAAGATGGTCACAAGGCGTTTTCTTTCATGAGCTTTTCTGTGACTGAAATACTATATTTACAATTATTTAATTGTGACTATATTTACAATTATTTAAGAGACAACCCTCGTATAAAATCAGAGTGAGCGGAGTCGTTTTTCTAATTTTCCTCTAAAATAAGGCAATTTCCGTAAATTTTTCACATAATAGAGGCCTTGGGGTGTAGACTACCGCCGCTTGAACAAGACTGATGATTGCGTCGTCCTGTTGGCTCATCACTCTTGCCACTATCTTAAATTTCCTGCAATTTGTTTCCCTATTTGGCGAGACTTAAAAAAGCACTTTCAGGAATATCCGAATTTTTAATGAAAACCAGTAAAGCCCACGTCTCAGAACTTACGAGAAAAATCAAAGATTTTCTTTGATTTAAGAAAGAGCAATCTTCGGATTGTCACGGGGGTTTTAACCGGACGCTGTCTCCTCGCTGAATATCTCAGTAGATTGAAGCTAAAAAACAACGGCAAATGTAGACTCTGTGGCAAAATGGGAAAACGCCAGAACACCCCATAACTGAGTGCTATAAACTTTGTATATCGAAGATGGAGAACTAACCTCTGTAAAACCGTCTCAGATACTGGCGTTTGTCAAATCCCTGGGACTGTACAAGTTATAACTCAAGAAAGGGGGGCACAATAGATACACAGTAGAACTTCACTAATTCGGACACCTGCGCTAAATCGGACACTCCAATAGATCGGAGTCTCTTATCAACCAGACAATTTTGACATTTTTACCTCTTTATTCCGGATGCCAACAACATTCAAAGACAAATGAATGAACTATCCGCATTTTTCTTGCACGATGGACGGTAAAGTGCAGTATGTGCCACAACACCATATTGTAAATGGCTCTGAACTAAAGCAAAATACACGTTTCTTAGTAATTCTATAGGAATTATACTTTTTAAAAACTTAAATATTACAATAAGTGATCTTAATTTTTTAGTTACAAACTGAATATGATAATTCCATTTCATGTGGTTATCAAATATTACTCCAAGATACTTAAATTTGTTGTAAATTGAATTTTGAAAAAGTATCTGAATAGCAGGCAAATGGCAAGAAGAAAGTTTTCTTAAAGTTAACAGTAAGAAGATTACAGTTGAGGGTTGGAACCTTTGGTGTTACACAGCAAAATAAAATTACACTAAATCACCACAATACACCAAAACACTTTTACTTTTACACTGAACGCGCGTTTCGCTAACCATGTTAGCATCATCAGCAGATGATTATAAACTAAAGTACAATCTACAAGTTGAGCGTTTATATACTCGCTCCGTAGGCACCGAGTGGGCGTGGCAAAATCTAGCCAACCGAGTCAGAGCCCACTGAGCGTAACAGTTAGATTTGCGCCACTAGAGTAGTAGGAACAAAGAACTTGAAGGAATTGGACCGTTGACTCTGTTCATGCTATCTTTACATTTATTAATTCTGATGCTTTCATATGCATCTAATTGCCTGTAATTTGAGACTTATTAAGATCTATACAATGTTCTTTATCAACAATATGTTCGGGAAGGCAAGATTTATCCGGTCTACCATAAATTATCTGTAATAGCCTTGATTTTTCATGCAGATACCTTGAAATTAAGTAAATATATTATATCTTTTAATCCTTAAATCCTTTCTGAAATATATCAATACCTAAATCAAAATATCGTTTCATTACAAACAGCATAAATAATTGTCAAAACCCAAATCAAAAATTACGAAAATAGTACTGTTTTGTAACCTTTGCAAATATCAATATCAATCTATTCAATTTTATAATCGCCCCCCGTAGCATAGTCGTCAAGTAATATCGTCGGGAGTAACAAAATTAAATCTCGTATATCGCCGAGAGTTTCGTCTAAATTAGGCATCACGCGACAAAGTTTTGATGCTTTAATTTGGTCGACTGTGCGACACCGTTGCTGACGACCTTGAAAGAAAAATCGAAATTGGGCCCCATATACGAACATAAACATTTCCAATGTTAAAATGTGTATAAATTTTAAGTTTAGGTTGCAAACAATAAAAGTATGAAAGGCAATTGATTGTAGTACACACGTATAAGAGAACAACGATGACGCAGCGCATCTCATTGAAAACAGGATCCAGGT